GGTAAAGACGAATTATTATCAATTTTTAGGTTATTGATTTGATATGTAAGTCTCCACGAAAAAACATAGCAATAATCCAGGGCAACTTATAGTCATTAAACATTGCATCAATAATATATTAAATTATCATGTTGTATCTACACCTTATAGTGTCGAGTCCAAAATTCACACCCATGTACGACAATGCAAGCTGACCACTGTAGCTACTACGATAAATTTGCTACATGACCAAGATATTCAAACATTGGATTAGCTTGCCATTAGTCCCGACTTAATCCTATAGAACGCGATTGGGATTTATTGGATACTTGTATTGAGAAACACACAAATGCACGAGAAACGATCGCAAACCTAAAAGAAGTATTCATCAAAGCATGTCATGGAAGTGTCAAAAATTCCGAGTATTAAGGGTTACATTGTTTTATAGTATTCATTACATTGTTGATCAAATCTTAAGAATACATAAGGTTTTTATTGTTACATAGATTAATATATTAGGAAATATGGTCTTAACAAGTTTGAATGTTTCATTTGTATGTTGTTCTCAATCACAAAAGCATAAAGAATTGTTCACTCTAATCATTCAAAATGAAGAAAAAATACAATTTATTCTATTCAAATAGTTTTATTGAAGATTATGCACTAATAGACAAAGTCGTATCTGTTTTGGTTTGGATAAATCGTATAGTAGCCTATTTTTTGAGGATTTTTTCTAATATCATTAGAAATGGTAATTTCAAATTTTTATTTAACACAAAAATTCAGCAAAATCGTTTAAGTAGTTTTTGTAAAATAATTTTGCAATCTAAATGTTTGAAAAAAAATTAATAATTTTCAAAATTCTGCAGAGCCAATTAAAAGTTTTAAATAATTAATTTTTTTTACAAAAAAAGTCATTCAAGCTTTCTAATAAAAAAGAAATGATTAAAATCCGTTAAATAGGAGAGCCTAGGAAAGTTTTTAAACAACTGTACAATTTTTACTAGAATTTACAACAAAGTAGAAGTACAACTAAGTGAAACACAAGTTGGTTTCAGAAACAACCTTGGAACCATAGAAACAGTCTTTATTTTGCATGTCATGGTTTAAAGATGTAGGTATATAGAACAATTAGTATATATGTGTTTTATCGACTTCCAAAAGGCCTTTGACCGAGTAAACTATGACAAACTTATAGGTGTCTTGCAACAGGTGGGAATTGATGACCGAGACCTGCATATTATTAAAAATTTGTATTGGCATCAATGTGCAAACATACGAGCTGGACACAATACGACGGAAGCAGTGGACATACGACGTGGAGTAAGGCAAGGATGTATTCTATCGCCCCTACTTTTTAATATCTACTTCGAATTTATTTTCAAAGAAGCTTTAGTTGAAGATACAGGCATTAAAATCAACGGAATTAATGTCAACAATCTCAGATATACAGACGACACGGTACTTCTTGCCTTCAATGAAGAAGACCTACAACGACTTATAAACAGGGTAACCGAAGCATGTGATGAATATAGGCTAAAACTTAAGACAAAACTTATGGTTGTCAGCAAAACGGAGTTACAACCAACGAACATCAGAGCGTATGGAATAGAGTTAGAAAGAGTCCACAATATTATCTACTTGGGTGCAAACGTTAACGATAACTGGGGTATAAATAAAGAAATAAGAATACGCATTGAAAAAGCCTAAGCCGCCTTCTATAAATTAAAGAAAAGTCTAATTAATAAAGATATCACGTTAAACGTTAAAATCAGATTAATACCCTGCTACATATTCTCCACATTGCCGTATAGTATGGAGAGCTGGACCCTTACAGAGACATTAATGAAAAAATTAGAGACCTTTGAATGTGGATTTATCGACGAGTATTGCGGATAAGTTGGGTTGATCGAATAAGAAATGATATAGTTTTACATCGAATGAAAAAGAGCACAGAAATAACAAAAACGATAAAAATTCGAAAGACATCGAGAGAGGTATACCCTTCTACACCTCATAATACAGGGTAAGATCACTGTCATAATACAAGAGACCACTGATAATTTATTTAGAGCCGCCGTAAACAAAGTTATTATTGCCAATCAGATCTATTCTGTAACTTTTGACAAATCGAATAGAAATCACCAAGTCGAATCGTAATTACTCGAAATCGGAATGTTGGATATCTATCGCGTCGTTTTTGTGTTTGGATTGGCATTCTGTAACTCACATCGTAATCGGTGTAAATCGAAAACGTCAACTTCTACTTGACGCGCTCAGAAGTTGGTGGCAACCCCGCATTGAAACGCGAAAGGAGTGTTCTGTGACATTAAGTTACTGGAAAGGCTAGTCCTCGCGAAAAATTCATCAAAAAAGATTATATTTCACGTCAAGTAGTTTTGACATGTTTTGGTTAAGTTTGAAAAGTTCGTTACAACAATACAAAATGGCAAGAGGGAAAGCAAAGAAAAAGACATTTGCTGAGTTAAATTATTTAGTAAACTTTATCTAAATAAATAACACCACAGACTAAAAAATGAAGTAGCTACAAAAATTAATCAACCGCTAATTTAGATCAAAAAGTCAACAAATAAATGTCAAAACAACCAATGCGCAAGCGTCAAGACCAATTTCGATATCGAAATTTGATCTCGACAGAGCTTGTCTAGTCGAAATCAATTTCTACACAACATTCCGATAGTAGAGGTCGAGATGAGTTACAGAATACCGATTCCTACAAATTCCGATCCGACTTGCTGACCTCTACTCGATTTGACTCATTTCTATTCGATTTGTAGTTACAGAATAGGGCTGAATATGATCGCAAACGTTCGATAATCGGGAGGCTACTGAAAGAAGAAGAAAAAGTACAATTGTTAAGCTAATAATCAAATTGTTTACGAAACTAAATAATTAAACGCTTTTAAAAATATTTTTCAACTCACGGAACCCAGTTTAAAAAGAATGATCAAAATTGGTCCACTAGAAGCTCACATAATTGAAATTTTTAAGGGGGTCGCTATTTTGAACGCGTGATTTTATTTTTGACGGGACTAAAATTGCTATCCCCACCATTGCCTCTCGTCGATTTTCCTTGTACTTGGCACAACAAAGGTATTTGTTATAATAAAAATGTTAATTGAAAACTGAAAAAGTTATTCTATTTGTATATTAGGTTAAAAATTATACAATTGTTTAAAATATTTTCTAGGCTCTTCAATTCAATGATTTTATTCGATTCCATTTTATTTGAATGCTTGAATCTACTTTAATATGTAAAAAAGTAGTCAAGTATGTTAAACATTTGTTGATAGCTCGCTCTGCATGATTTTGAAAATTAATACATTTTTTTTTTTTAATTTATATTACAAAATTATTTTTCGAAAACTGCTTGATCGATTATGCTGAAATTTTGTTTAGTGTTCTTTTATATTAAAAAGATTTTCTAGGTAAATATTTGAAGGTTCTATGTGGCTTTTAAATACCTGAAATAGATTATTGAAAATACATTAATTTTTGACCTTTTTCTTAATGGTTTTTGTTAATTTTGCAATAATAATATTTTTTTTTAATTTGCATTTAATTTGATCTGGTATAAAATTTAATTGCAAATCTTTTTAGCCCACGTTTTGAAATGTTCGCATAGTGAAATTATCATTGTTAATAACATTTCAAAGCGATTAAAGCAAAAAATTAGGTTCATATACAATTTAGTCAAATGAGAGTATTTTGGAACAGATATCGTCTGGCTCAATAGCACTGACTACATAACTTTAGGTTTAATCAAAATGTCATATTCTATAACAATCAACCACTGATAACTGTCATCTTAACTTCAGGAAAGTATGTCTGGATTCTCATTTAGCAAAAAATGATCACAACAGATATAACAACTATTTTACAACAGCACAACCTTAAATCATTTGTACAGCGTACTTTTTGCGTATTGTATACATTTATGTTTGATGATTCGCATCTATTGGTCATTCAAAACTATATGTATTCAAAAGATTATAAAATTATATATTAGAACAAAAATGTTCGCTTGTAATGTCCATAATTGAAAGAGAAAAAATATGAGGCCATTTTAACAATAAGCTCATAGTGGATGTTGTATATTTAGCCTGTAGTAATAAACAATAAATAAATACGATATAAGGTCCAAGAAAACGACGAAAAAGACGAAATCGAACATACTTCTTAAAAGGCACTATTATACATTTCAGAAAAAAAAAACGTATCTCAGAGTGAGAATTACTCACAAATATATGACATTTGTTGTTAGATCTTGAAGTTAACTATAAACAGAAGCAAAAAAATAGATTTAAGGACTCCATCTGTGAATGATCAGATCAGTGAACACATTTTCCTCTACTGAAAGTGTAAAAACGTACTATAAAATTGTACGCGAGTATTTTGAAAGTAGGAAACTAAATTCTTTGATATTATTTTTGCAAAAAGACCTTAGTATAAGAAAACTGCATCCATAGAAAAAGAACGACTAGAATTTAAGTAAAACAATAAAAGCTGAACAATATAATTTGTTTTGAAAATTTGTTAATTTATTGTGTTACATTCATTTAAATTGAGATGCACGACTGACCGTATAGGCACAGTATATTGCTTAAAAAGAATATAGGTTTGAGGACCAATGAAGTGAATCTATGCTATAAAATCTGGATACTGTATATTCAGACCATCCGAGTTTATTATCTGGTTAAAAAGGGAAGGGGAAGGAGGTACGAGGAGGGCGTGTAGGAAAGTTGGCTGATCGGGGGTTCAGGACGAGGGTGTTAAGGTAACACACTGAGGAACCTAGAAGCTACGAGACCACATGACTTTACAACGTTTTGCGGTTGTCCATTGTTTTGCTTTATAAACTGTCGGTGCAGTATATATATGTATACAGGGTGAGTAAGCACTTCCGGGGCCTCTCACACTTTTCACCACTATCTATGTACAGTAGTTAGCACGATTTTTAGTCTAATACTTTTTGTACAAGTTCCCGTTTATTTTACTTTTTATTTTTAACAAACACTGGGGCACTACATTTACACTTTGTACAAAGAAGAATCACATTTAAGAGTTGCATATTTCTATGTCCATTGTCGTTGTGACACTAGGGAGAGAACCTGCAACAAAAAACTCTATAAGTAAAGAAAGAGTTTTGGTACAGGTAGAAAATAAACTTAAATAAATGAGAAGCTACATATATAGAAGTCTAAAACTGATATTTTATCTAAAATAGGTCATGTATATATACAGGTATGACCAGCAATAAGCAATTATGGTGAGGTGGTCGAAATGATGTAGTATCGTCTCCAGCGATCAGACTCCAACCCGCAAAATGATAGGAATCTTCTTTTTATCCCTTTACTTTTAGTTATACATATTTTTGATTTTCTTTAACGTTGCTTCCCATTTTTTTGTATCATTCCATCGGCTTCTAGGTACATTACAGATTTGTATGTGTTCTTTGTTGATACTATTATCATGTTTTGTTCTTCTCCATGTTATATCAATACTCGACTATTAGGCGATCAATAAGACATTCTTGATTTTGTCGCTTGTTCTCCCACTTCCACCTAGATACTGTTGTTACTTGATAAACTTATTCCAGAGGACTTAAATTCAAAGATTCGTTCTACCATTTGATTTTAACGTTGAGTTTTAAACTGTATGTTGTTTTTGCCATATTCTCGTATTCAATTTCTTAGTCTTAATGTTGTACTGATTTTGTAGATCGTCTTCATTCTCATTTATTAGAACTGCGTCGTCTGCATAACATTTCATTGCTTATTATTTCCGTTTTTGTTTTTTTTTATAACCTGGTCCAACAATTAATTGAATAGTTTTCCTGTATAATCCCAGTTATTATTTCAAAGAGTTCATTAGCTTTGGTTAGTCTTTTCACTTGTTTTGTTTCTCATATTATCATCATCACCTTCATATCCGAGACTACTTTTTCGTTTGTCTTACAATTTCCAAATTTAGACTCCAATTTAGAAGAGCAGCTTGCATCAGTTAATCATTTTGTTAGTGATTAGCAGATGTTTCTTACATTCATTAAGGAATCTTCACTGATCACTTCACATTTAACAATAACCTCCGACTTCGTAGAATATTTCATTTAGATACCAAATACTTCTACTACCTGGAGTTAAATTTAGCTAGAGGACAAGAACAGCTTTATTAAATTCGCAGTTCAGGATAGGTCTCATGTGAGATTTAGACTCTCCCAATAGAAAATGCTTTCCTTATTGTGACGAATCCAGGAATGACGTGATTAAATTACTTGATCGTATCTCCCACCTTTAAGAATGCTTATACTATTACTGTACAATGCTTCCGTTTTACTCTTTAACCAATGAAAACATTGTAATTATTAAAACTACAGTATTTAACGTATTTCTCTTTACAAACGAAAAATGATACAAATAAAATAACATAATCGATTTTAGAAATAATAACCTGGTCAAGTTAGAGCTGAAAATTGATACAAATGTTTCTTCACCATTATAAATTAAATGTGAGAAGTGCCTATCAATCCTACATCTGCAAAAAAAGTTATTTGAGTTAAGGGGAGCAAATATAGATTTTTTACGTGTTTTAGGCAAACGTTAATGACTAATGTATGTACTCAGCATACTTATGCATAATATAAAGTATAATATGCATAATAAAATATAATATGCATAATAAATGATAATACGAAGAACACAGATTTTTTAAAATCATTATATCTCCAAAAGGGTGATACTTAAGAGAAACAGTAAATAAACAATTTTTATAGATAATTGCATGATCTACAATTTTTTTTTCTGATGTATTTTTACGATAAAACTTACCGTTTGGCGTAAAAACTAAAAAAACATATTTGCGACCTTTCACCTTGAATAAGTCTTTTCGTAGATGTTATATTAATGGGGACTTTTCACATTTAATTTATAATAGTTTCCGAATATCAGTACCAATTTTTAGCTTTATGTGAATTTTTGTAACTTTGAATGTCTATTTTGACCGGGCTATAATGTAATATCAGCTGAGACTATCTATAGCTATTTTTTATATAGATTCTCTTATCTATGGAGGGATTCATTATTGCTAAATAATTATATGTATAAACAAATATTTGAGGAAACATGTTTTATTGAGTACAAAAATTAATAATTAGAACAAAACAATATAAAGCTATATTTCAGATCAATAATAGTTAACAGAACGGAAGTGGATAAAACTAAATAGTCCATTGAAAAGTTACATTAAAGGTTGCATTTTTTAGATGACACAATTTTTGTTTTTTTTTTATTTATATAAGGATAGTTAGTATAAGCTTTAATTCAAGATTGTGGGATCGCCATACTTGTCCACCGGCCGCCATCTTGGACAAAGAGGTGTAAAAAGTTCTCGCGCTGTATCTCCTAAAATGGCAACTCTACAGAAAATTGTATAAGACATTCTTTGTAGCAAATTATATTGTCTTCAACTTTGTTTTTATTACTTTTTAACGAAAAATGAAAAATAAAAAAGTTACAACAAAAATAATTGAAATTTTTTGTGAAAAAATTTTCTTTTGGGTAATCCTTTTTTGTGGGTATTTTAAACAGGGTTATCTGGGTTTTAGAGATCTACAAAGTTGATCGGGTTATTATTAAATACTCGTAAGAATACGATAAAAATGGAAACAGCATACGGAAAAGCGGAACAGCATTAATTCTCAGCGAGAAAGTCGAGCCATCTTTGCTAACTAACATTGACGAAAGTTTTTTTCTTTATATGGTGGAAATAAAGATGACTCTCTGGGCAGTATGGGATACAAACGATTGGAAAAACAGTGAGAAAAAATATATTTAACTTATCATCGCTTTCTCCAACATAAGATGCAGTCCGTTTCCACAGATTCAAAGTTTATCATCAGGTTAAGGCGTGACACGACAAACACTGCGATACTGAAGATTAAGGCTTGAAAATCATGGAAAGATTGTATAAATCCAAACTTCCAAAACTCCAGCACCCTCTAAACTTATAAAATTAATTTTCTGTAGATGCAAGTCAAACTGTGGAAGTATGTGTGGTTGCCAAAAAGCAGGCCTCAAATGCTCTGCACTGTGCCTCGATTTTGGCTGGTGAAACCTGCAATAACATCATGGAAATATCAAAATTAATCGAAGATGAATTGCCCACAATGACGCTTGTTATTCCATAAACATTTACCTCCGATACTAAATAAGATCCGGAGCTGCGGCCTGGACCATCAAAGAAAATGAAAACACAATAGCTTTAAATATATAATTATGCTTAATATTATATACCTGGAAATTGCCTATGGATTAGACCTACTGAGGGTACCACGTAATAAAACGCTCCTATAGACCCTACTTCATAGGTAATGAGGAAAATGGTCGATAATAAATTAATAAATTCATAGGAAAATGATGAATTATATAAATAAAAAAAATTTATAAAACAAAACTAAGCCTAACAGTTCGTTTTTATCGTATTCTTACGAGTATTCAAGAGCCCTGTCAACTTTGTAGCATTGTAAAACCGAGATAAATTAATGAAATTAAGTAAATTTGAGTGAAAAGTATTCGTTGAAAAATCTTCTATATTAACAACAAGAGAAATCATACGATTTCCTACCTGGCTAAACTGAATTCAAATCTTCACCACTGTGCTTTCTACAACTTGCAAAACAAATTGATGAATTAGTCGGCAAGGGAATCTAAAATATGTATTCCACCTGCCGTTCATCCTAGTCAAAATTCCTTGTTGTTTTTTACCCTTTTTTTACCTAACCCTTTTCGACGGGATATATTTTGTTTCGATTCAGAGCAGTGGCTCTGATGAAACCTAAAGAGATTGAAATACATATAAGCGGCTTGCCCCTGCCCTGCCCATCGAAATTATCAGATCTGCCCATTCGATCAGAAAAGTAAAATTGTGTCCTCTGAAAAACGCTCGCTTTGGCATATAAAAAACAACCTTTCAATGGAGTAAAAATTATTAGCAAAACTTAAAAAAATACAACGACATTTAAAAAAAAAGATCTTATAATCTAACAGTGGCACAGTAACAGTATTCACTAACACATAATTTATGAACATTCTAGTTTTTGTCATCAACCGTTAACTATTTGTATTTTATCTTTTGCTTGGTATTTGTATCTCGTTTCAAATCATTTATATTATTTATTGCCGTCCTCATCTATATACTGTGATCCATATTCCGTTTTGTTTATGTCTATTTCATATTCTGTCAATTGTCAATGTTAAATGTCAATGTCAATATAAATCATAGAATCTTTCTTTGTATATTTTACATATGTTTGCTATAATTTAACATTTGAATTACAAGTTTACAATTTACAGTCTAGTAAATATATGAGTAGGTAAATATATTAAGAAATCGGTAACTTGTTTTATGATAATGGAACAATAATACGTTTGCCAGAAAACTAGTTAGCTAACAGGCAATACTGCTATGACGCCACTGTCAGTTTATAATAAATAAATTATAGAAGCAAACAGAGTTTAAATTTTAGAATTTTGTCAAAGTTGATATTGTTTTACATATTTTATTACAGATAAGTAAATCAAATAATATATGAACCACTGTTTTCATATATTATTTAATATATTATTCCAGAAGAGTTTCTTCTTACCTCACAGATGATGTCCATAGTATTCAGGGTAATGCGCATACTGATTGTGGAAAGCTGGGTCACCAGGCGGCCGGTGCATCATTTGCTGTCCGTCCATCATGTAGCCCATCGTACCGTCTGGACTGTAAGCACCGCTTGGTCCTGCGTGCGGGGAGAATACTACAATTAAAAAACAATGTTTAAATGCATTTTTATTAAAGAATAAATTATTTTTAATTGTTTCTATATCTTAAGTTGCTGTCAATAAATATTAGCTGAATAAGAAGGAAGACTTTTGGAAGAAGACCGTCATGTCAAAATGCAACAATTTTCAGAAATGGCCATTTAAATAATCCACAGATTTTAAAAATATCAAACTTTACCCATAACCGTAAATAGGCTAATATTTTGGCTTTTGGCTTTGGCTTTGGTGTGTATTAGTATGTAAAAAGATAGAGTCAATGCCATATTTTCTTAGTCCTATTTTAGGCCATAAAATTTTTGAGTTGTGACGTTCTTTAAAAAAATGTGTTCGGTGTTTGGAGATAGTTCAGTTCTTTATTAAAATCGTTTTATGTGTTTTTTACAAATGTCTGTATACATAGCAGCATACTGTCGCATAAAAATAAGAACAAAGACGTTAGAGTGTAAAAATTAATATAATACTGTCACTCTGCAGAAAATTATAGTTAAAAAAATATTTTATTCTTTAGCTTTCTATAATACACAATCAACTTTAGCATGTGTCTACTTCTAAATCCTTTAAAAATAATCTGAAATAATTCCAACCGGATTTATTATTATTTTTTAAGAACGTCATAAGTCAAAATAATTTGTATATAGTTGGGTTCAAAAATTCAAAAAGTTTTAATCATTTTCTAAAATACTGACATAACAAAAAAAATACTAAAAATCATTTTAAAAATAACCTCAACTTATTTAGAAGACTAACAACTCAAAATAATGCATTATTCTTGACAGAAAGTATTGTTTTATCTTATTCAGTTTATGAAAAAGTAAGACATATCTCAAAATACTGTACACAAAAATCACAATATTGTGCAAAATGTCGAACCAACTTTTTGATTAACAATAACGACACTTCTACCATCCGACGACCATTGGCATAAACTATGCCCATTTTTCATTTTTTTGAGATATGACGGTCTTGTTCCAAGGTAACGATATATTTATTAAGATTTAGGAAAAGCAAGGAATGTAAAAGACATTATGCGAATAACAGTCTTGAAGCAAGTCGACAAACAATGTACAAAACGAATTGAATTGAGATGAAGACGAATGTCATATAAAGCATCAGAAGATCCCAGAAAAGGTTGTTAAATGATCTTAGTCTTCATTCTAGAGTGGAAATTCTTTGTCTATTCTGGCACAAACATTTTTTATGGGAGGTCGTACATTTATTTTTTTATTTTCGGTTTCTAAGTTAGTATTTTTGTTTGGTTAGTAGATTTTTAGCCATACTGTTTATGTTGTTTCTATTTTGTTTTCCATTTTTATATTTTCTCATTGATCAAATAGATATTATGTTATTATCCTACATATTCATTTATCTGTCTATCAAGTTTTGTAATGTTTTCAACCCTTCTGAGAAATTTCATGTCACCAGCTTGAATTGTTTTTGAGTCATTTCCTACCTTTCAATCTATGCAACAGAGCAGCTGTGGCAATTGTTTTTTGTTTCGTTTGGCAATGAGCTAGAACAAGTTCAAGAATATATTCACCTAGGCCAAACTTTGAAACTTGACAAAGAGAACCAAAGTGCGGAAATAACAACAAGAATAAGACTACGACTAATCGACAACGATTTGTAACTAACAGAAGCTTACAATCCCAACTTGAAGATGTTCACAATGTTTTAATGAGCTGAGAAACTGTTCGCTAACGCCCCAAGGAAGGAAATTTGGTAAATCAAATACCTGCTAGAGCAACAACCTTGACCGTAGCACATTGCAGAGCACGTTTGGAATTTGCACGAAATTATGTCCAATGATTGGAGGCTGATTGGAATAGAGTGGCTGTTTCCTGATGATGGTCGATTCTGTCTTTAAAATTGTAATAGGCGTATCAGCGTGTACCGATGATAGAACGAACGGTATGCACATTGTATCATGAGAGGAACGCCGTTATTCGTTGGAGGGTCGGTTATGGTCTGGGGTGGCGTGTCTTTAACAAGTCGTATAGATTTAGTGGTGGTGAATACGGTACCATCAATGCTGACTGATATATCGTTGACGTTCTTCAAGACCATGTGGGAATGACAGAATGCTCCCAGTACAGAACAATTTCCTTAATAAGCTACACACTTAAGATATTTCTCAAAATAATACATGGAAGACTTTACAAAAAAAATTGAAGAATATATATATGACACCCAGTTTGGATTCAGAGGAGGACTAAGAACGATAGAGGCTCTGATCGCTTTTAACGTTCTCGCGCAAAGACGACTAGATATGAAACAGGATCTCTATGTCTGCTTTATAGATTATCAAAAGGCTTTTGATAGAGTACGACATCAGAAACTCGTAAAACTGTTAAGAGAAAAGAATGTGGATAGTCGAGATATACGGGTTATTGTCAATGTGTACTGGAATCAAAAAACAAAGGTTATAATCGAAAGTGTCGATACAGAAACAATAGAAATCAAAAGAGGTGTTAGACAGGGCTGCGTGCTGTCCCCATTGTTATTCAATCTGTACAGCGAAGCTATTTTTAAGGAAGCAATAGCAGACGAACAACAGGGTAAATCAGGGTAAAAAATAATCAATAAACGGAAAAATCTTAAACAACGTATGAAATAAAACGCGTTTCATTTCAGTTAATATTTTCATGTTATAGGGTACGTTTCCAAAGAGATACATTAATTTTTTGGAGCAGTATAGATTCTAGAATATATATTTTTCTGAGTTATCTTTTATATAACTGCTGGACACTTTTATACTTTTTTAAACAAAATTTTGTCTTTCATGTAAATGATTGTTGATGCGTTTGTCATGTAATCAATTCTATAATAAAAATTTCGTTTCTTTTTCTCGTTTTGCGCTTTCGAGTGTGTTTTTGTTATTTATTAAACATAGTTTTTTTAGAGCTTTCCTATTTTACCAAGACCTATCAGAATGTAAAAATAAATACTGATATCTTTATTGTGTACATTAATGGCCGTGTTATTTCAGGGTTATTTTCATCCTAATGTGATTTTAATAATATTTAGTAAAAGTATCTCTAACCAAACAATAGAATTTAATTCCCTAATCTTCACCTTTGCCTTGATACCACCCGTGTGATCTAGCCGGTCCCGCGGTCCGGCTCTTATCACAATTTTTTAATGAATCGTGATTTCCATTAAAGCCTAACGTTGTCATGCATTTTTATGAAGATATGGGCCGATCCCTTGGCTAGCAGTGTCGCTCCGATACACTAAATATATGACTTGTAAGTGGAAAGTCTTGTATACGGTATGATCAGTTATCTTTCTGTTGCTTTTATTTCGCCAGACCATGCTGTTGTTTGTGTATTGAATATATGTGCCAGAGCATAGGCGGGGTGAAAATAAAATATGTAATAAACGCGATGGAGCGTTTGGGAGGGGACTATAAAAGTTACTTGCGTAAAGTAATCATTGCCACCTATATTTATTTATCTTTTTTAATTAATATAATTAACTGAGTGCATTTTATGCAGTAATAAATTATGTTTTGCAATAACTACAAATGATACATATTCAACAAATTGCTTATTTTTAATTTAAAAATAATCAATGTTTGTGATATTTTTATAAAAAGGCAGCAATTTCCATGGTTCGTTTCAAAAAGTTTACATTCTTGGTTAAAATTCTGAATGAATTAGATGTTATAATTGGGTTATGTATTATATCCGCATTTTGTATATACTAGTATGTCTCTCTGTCCAATAAATTTTTTATAGTAGAGCACAAAGCATTTCAATAATAATAATGTTCAGAATAATATATACTCTTCTCACAATATATTTAAGTTAATCTAGTTCATCAAACTATTAGTTTTTTTTTTAATTAAAAGATGAAAGGAATTCCAAACTGCCCAAGAGAATGGATAATCATGTATATAATTTTAACTGAACGAATAAATATAATTCAAAAATAGATCTTTCTTCATGTTGTACTTTCTCTCCAAAAAAATTTGTACCATAAAAAAAAATAATTTTCTTATTGCATCAGCATCTCTTTGGCCTATCCTATTGCCGGAAAGAAATATACTATTAAAATCTTGGAAAAATCTTATGGAAAGCTAAGAGATGTTTTCCAATCAGCTCTTCCCATCTGCTTGAAGAGAAAAGTCTTCGATCAATGTGTGCTGCCGGTTCTAACCTATGGTGCGGAGACGCTAACACTTACTAAGACGTCCGCAAACAAAATTCGAACAACACAGAGGGCAATGGAACGGTCCATGTTGGGATTAACCCTGAGAGACCGAATACTCAACACAGAATTGCGCCGTAGATCGGGAGTAACCGACGCAATCAAAAGAATATCAACCTTAAAATGGAACTGGGCAGGGCACGTCGCGAGAACGAAGGACGGCAGATGGACAAAACGCATTCTTGAGTGGAGACCCAGACAAGATGCCTTTAGGAATAGAGGACGACCACCAACAAGATGGACGGATGACCTGAAACGGACACATCAAAATTGGATGCAGGCGGCTCAGGACAGAAATTTGTGGGGTGAACTACGGGAGGCCTATGTTCAGCAGTGGACGAGTATGGGCTGAATGATGATGATGATGATGATGATGATGATGATGATGATGATGATTAAAATCTTGATCAATAAAATCTTAAAATATCGAATGATTGCACTTATGAATCATGTATTGACAACTTTTTTGAAACCAATATAATCGTCAAAATATTAAAAAAGCAGTTAGACCTTGGAAGTCACTCAACTGGTATGCATAAGTCAAACTTGAATGAGCGTGACCTTATTCTGTACAAACCTGTTAAAGTAAAATTGAAAAGGTATACGTTAATTTCTCGTAAGTTCTCCAACAAGAACAACGTACCTTGGAAGTAATCTTGATGAAACTTGGGACCACTCACTAGGGATAAGAATACGCCTGGAAAAGGCACGTCAATGTTTTACAAAATGCAAAAAGTTCTATGCAAGC